AAGGAAATGCACTGAGAACTAAGTTTAGAGCAGTGGCTCTGGGACTTTGCTGCACATCAGAATCATTTGGAAACTAAGAATCCAAATGCCAAGGCCACATTCCACATCTTATAAATCAGAAGTTCCATGGACCCAGGCTCAGCATTATTTCATACTACACACTAATTTTAATGGCATCCAAGTTTGAGAATCAGTGCTTTTAGAAAGGATTAGGCAAGAATGATAGCAGGTGGAGTGTAGCATAGTGTACAAAACATGGCTTGAGAACCAGCCCTGGGACCAAAGTACGTTATGAATTCTCTCTAAATATCAACTTTTAAGCTGAATAGTGGGGAACTTCTTAAAGATTTTAAAGTACTAGAAAATGTAGAGTTCCTGGAAGGTTCCATTTCCTTTATGAAGTGTGCCCATTATGATTTCTACCTTGGTTTACATACCAGAAAAGTTTCTTCCATACTTGAAAAAAATTGCAAAAAACATCGGCATGTTTTGTAATGTTCTACTATAATACTCTCCATACTTAAGATATGTTTGCTGGAAAATACAAAATGACTTGAGGCTGTTTAACTTGGTTAACAGTTATGCTATGTGAGATTGTCCACACTTTTCTCTTCAGTTTCACCTACCTGCTTAGCTCATGTTGCCAAAAAATTAGCAGAACCCCCCCCCCCCCCCCCACACACACACACACAAGATTTCCATCTATGGGTGTTAATCACGTTTTTAGTTCCAACCCAATACCCACTGGTCTTTCTGAAAAACTAGATTTTGTTTTAACAGGAAAGATCTGCCATCTGGGGGTTCACAGTGGTAATGACAGGCTGTGTAGTTGCTTCCGAGAGAAAAAGGAAGCTCTACATACAGTCCAGCCCAATGCAAGGACCTGTCGCTTTATGGCCGCCCACAAAGGGCGGACACTACAGCAAGCTTCTATGTCTTACACTGGCATTTTCCCTCTTTATAACAAAGGAGAACTTATCTAACCAAGTAACTCTAAATGTTTTATAACTAATATCTCTCTAAAAAGTAAAACCTGACATCTTTTCTAACAAGAATGAAAGTTTTTTTTACTGACATCTTACAGAATAATTTGATATGTAAAATGGTCAAAAAGGATATGTCTGGGATTCCACTATTTGTAGCATTCTTCACACCGTTGTAATTTTTTAAAAATTCACCATGTAAAGGAGATTCATTTGAAGTCCATCTGATAAGTACTACTTGTTTGTACTAAATTGTGCCTTTTCAGTTAGATAATTTTATCTTTTAGTAACTGGCTTAGAAGACAGTAAATAAGCTAGTCCTGATTTTAATTCTATTGCAACAATTTAAGAAAATGTCCATAAGTTAAATGCCAATAAGACAACTCCTCTATTTCCTGTCTTTTGCTAATGGCCTCACACTCAAATCATTCTTCTCTCCTTAGGATGGGCAGTCGAATCCACGTCTACCCAAATGGGTCCCTGTTTATTGGATCAATAACAGAAAAAGATGGTGGTGACTACTTGTGTGTGGCAAGAAACAAAATAGGGGATGATCTGATACTGATGCATGTTAGCCTAAAGCTGAGACCTGCCAAAATTGATCACAAGCAACATTTTAAAATGCATGTGTTTCATGGGAAAGACTTCCAAATTGATTGCAAGGCTTCTGGCTCACCTGTGCCCCAGATATCCTGGAGTTTGCCCGATGGAACGGTGATAAATAATGCAATGCAAGCTGATGACAGCAGGTGGCGTACCAGGAGGTATACTCTTTTCGACAATGGAACCTTGTACTTCAACAGTGTTGGGGTAGCAGAGGAAGGGGATTATACTTGCTATGCCCAGAACCCTGTAGGGAAGGATGAAATGAAGGTCCACCTAATGGTCATAACTGCTGCCCCACGGATCAAGCAGGGTTTCAAGGCCAAACCCAGAGTCAGGGCCGGAGACACAGCCACCTTTGACTGTGAGGCTGTGGGGGAACCCAAACCAAAAGTATCCTGGCTGCTGCCTTCCCGGGATAGGATTTTATTCTCAAAAAATAGGTATGCACTTCATGCCAACGGGTCTTTGTCCATCAACAACGTCAAACTGCTCGATTCTGGAGAGTATGTGTGTGTGGCCCAGAATCCCAGTGGGGATGACACCAAAATGTATAAGCTGGAAGTTGTCTCCAGGCCCCCGTTAATCAATGGTCTGTATACCAACAAAACTGTCATCAAAGCCACCGCCGTGAGGCATTCCAAAAAGCACTTGCATTGCAGAGCTGAAGGGACACCATCTCCCCAAGTTACGTGGATCATGCCAGACAACATTTTCCTCATCGCCCCATATCATGGAAGCAGAATCACGGTCCATAAAAACGGAACCCTGGAGATTAGGAACGTGAGGCATTCAGATTCAGCCGAGTTTACCTGCGTGGCTCAGAATGAAGGAGGAGAGAGTGTGCTGGTAGTACAGCTGGAAGTACTGGAAATGCTGAGAAGACCAACATTCAGAAATCCATCTAATGAAAAAATATTTGCCCAGGTTGGGAAGCCCACAGTATTGAACTGCTCTGCTGACGGAAACCCACTACCTGAAATAATCTGGATTTTACCGAATGGCACACGGTTTTCCAGGGGACCACACAGCCCTCAGCACCTGACAGCAAGCAGCGGTTCTTTAGTGATTTATAAAACAACTCGGGATGACGCAGGAAAATACCGGTGTGGGGCAAGAAACAAAGTGGGCTATATTGAGAAATTAATTGTATTAGAAATTGGCCAGAAGCCAGTTATTCTTACCAATGCATTGGGAACAGTGTATGGCATCAGTGGGGACTCTCTCTCATTGCACTGTGTGTCAGATGGAAGCCCTAAGCCAGATATCAAGTGGACTGTACCAAGTGGTCATATAATAGACAGACCTCAAATTAGTGGAAAATATATATTGCATGAAAATGGCACTTTAGTCATCAAAGAAGCAACAGCTTATGACAGAGGAAACTATATCTGTAAGGCTCAAAACAGTGTAGGCCATGCACTGGTTACTGTTCCAGTATTGGTTGTAGCCTACCCTCCCCGAATTACAAATCGCCCACCCAGGAGCATCCTCACAAGGACAGGGGCAGCTGTTGAGCTTCACTGTGTGGCCCTGGGCGTCCCCAAGCCGGAAATCACATGGGAGATGCCTGACCACTCCCTGCTGTCAATGGCAAATAGAGGGAGGACACATGGGACTGAGCTTTTCCATCCACAAGGCAGCCTAGTCATTCAGAACCCTCAGAGCTCAGACTCCGGGATATACAAGTGCACAGCAAAGAACGCACTTGGTAGTGATTCTGCAACAACTTATATGCAAGTGATCTGACATAAAATAACATTTCTTGAATAGTCAACATCTGGACAGTTTGCTTTTTTGGAAGAAGTTTAATCAAAGGCAGCGAAAGGCATGTAAATGAATTTAAATACATTTACAATATTAAATTTATCATGGACATGCAAAAAAAGACTTGTAAATATATGCATTATGAATTGATACTGATTTCTTTAATGGATCTCAAAACAAATTTTTAACTTAAGGCACTTTTATTTTGCCAACAAATAACAATGAACATTTAGAGAAAACTATCCACTATAAAACAACACATGGCTAATGTACCTGAATTCTTCATTAAATTGACTTTTTTTTTTTTAAATTACCAGTTCCCTAGTGTCCACCTTCTGTCAATGTTATGGGCATGGCACTGACAACAGACAATGGAACAGATTAAATTTTCAGTCTTAATGTAAATTTTCCATTTTGATGTATAATGTATAAATATTTTGTGGTTGGTTTATAAATATTTTACTAAAGCCTACAGAAAATAAGCACTTAACTGTTTTGATGATGATTTACTGTCTTGTGCACGCTGAAGTTTTTCATAGATGGGGAATACAAGGATGTTTTAATGACTGAATTTAAAAAGAAATGCAGGCTAACTTTTCCAACATGTAAAAAGCAACTCAACACCTACAAATAAAAAACGTGAAAAGGGGGCTGATTACATCCTTGTCTAAATAAACCCACTAAAAATGTTTTAAAAATACAATGAAACTTCTTTATAGCTTCAAAATCCAGCTCAGGTACCCTGGTTTGGAGCTGTCACAAGAAAAAGTTCCTGAGAAGGAACCATTGCTTTATGAGCATTTAATTTCATTAAATGGGAATCCTTTATGCGACAGGTAAGTGTTTAGGAAAGCTCTAGATCTAATCATATAATGAAGTTTCACTGTACTTAAAATTTCTTCAACTGTACCCAAAATGTTGCCTTTTGTAATTTATTGAATTTATTTATATTACATGCTTAATTCAACCGGAATTAATTTGGGGAACATTATGATTCATCTTTTCTAATTGTAGAGGCTGGGATTTTCCAATGTAATTTCTCCAGCATCTATTTAAATATTCGCCTATTATTTAAGAAGAATTATAGGAGCCTTAATAAGATAAAAAGAAAGTGCCATAGGTTTTGCTCAGATATTTCAGTACCCAAACCGAGAGCTATGTCAGCCCCCACCAATCATCTGAGATATATGGGGGAGCTCACTTCATTGTGTTTTCACCACACCCACTTTCAGCTGGCCCCACTGAGAGGTGACTGATTGCTGCTGCCTCTGAGGTTGGGATCCCATGGCTGAAATAAGTCAAAGGATATTCATTCTAACAGTGATCTTCTACTTCTGGGCCAAGAGGAGTAAGTCACATAACAAATGCAACTCTACTAGGAACAAGTCTACAGTGAAAACCTTATGTCTAAGGGCTTCTTATGTCCAACTCCATTCTATTTCAAGGTCTTATATTTAACAGGGTGAGGGTTCCCATTTATCCTAAGATAATTTCTTCTATTTCATGAAACAAATTACTAGCTTCTGTCAAAGGACAGGACTTTCCCTTGTGATCATTTAATGCAAATTAACGCATTTGCTAAAAAAAAAAGAAACCTCTCAGGATAGAGGGTTAAGTGGGAGTTACTATGATGAGACTAGATTAAAATTTCCAGTTGCCATTTTTATTACGCAGAGGGAGAAACCAGTTTTAGTTTTTTCCTCAACTTTCCATAGAATCTTGGAAGCCTTACCGTGACTTAGCTTCCCCACCTAAAAAGGACACACAACAAAAATGTACACCCACAGTCTTCAAGTGCAAATGATTAATAAATTAATTTCACTAAGTTCTGCAAAATATAAAGTGCATACAAATGCTATGCAATTATAACACTCATTCTTGAAACAGTATTACTGCTGTTTGCAATACTGAGCTATAAAAATATATGGTTCCAACAGAAAACTGAGATTTTTTTAAATGCCAATAATTCTCAAAAGGAAAGAAAATGACAATCGGGGTGGAAAATGACTCTCTCCGGGCACAGCATTCATTGTTCGGCTGTCTAGCCAAGGCAGTCATTATACAGATATACTACTTGAAGAAAAATAATATCATGGACTCTAAAGATGATTCTTGTGGGGGGGAAAAACAGCTCGATATACAAAACCAGCTGAAAAGTAAAGATGCATCCTCTGAAAGCAGGTTGAATATGTTAATCTAGTGAAAAGAATGGTCCTTCATGTTTTGGCAAAGTCTTTTCCAGCCCAGAGTAAACATGAAATGAGCAGGCCGGAGTAAACTGGTTTCACAGTGTACAAAGCAGTTCACAGGGATGTTGCCACAGCAAAGTAAGCAGACATACATTTGAGGTCATTTGCATGAGTCAAACTTTGCAATGAGTAACTCACCTAGGAAGATATAAATTATTTATATAATGCTTTGCAAAGGAAGTGATCTACTAAAGTTGTACTAGTTACATTCAAAAGAAAGTAGTTCTACATGGTTTGTTCATTATAGACAAATCTATTCACAGTATGTGCAACTACATGACATGTGAAATCATATGGCAAAAGGAAATGAATTAACACAGAACATGGGAAAATATCCCTCACATGTTTTTAAATGCCCTGCAATTTTCACATTCAAAATTTTATGCATCTAAATCTAAAAAAATATTATATGGAATACTCTTAAATTACACAAACTGATAATTTACTGGATTTTTTACTCTAATAGGAGCAAATTACCACATACTTGAACAAAGTTAAAATAGTTACTATTTCTTTATAATAAATTTGATGTATAATTTACTTTACTTGTGCTTTTTGCACCAATTTATAAATACATTATATGCAACACACAACCGATTTGGACACCAACATTAACAATTAAATTCAAAATAGCAAATACTTACCATATAAAATAAACAGCAAATACATTTTTTATGAAAACCAGAGCTTTCTGGACTGGAGGCCAAATTCTCTGGAAACCATGTCAAGTTTGAGCACTGTGGAATCTCATGCCAGCTGAGAGATTCTTTTTCTCAAGTTGGCATATGATTCAGGAGAACCAAAACTGGACACAGTCATTTTTGCCAAATCTGGCAATAAATAATTGGACAATTCCACCATGGTTTGTTGGGGCCTTTAGAATTTCCATGTCGTACCTTCACAGAGACTCTGGTCAACGACCTTGCTACTGAAAACAAACTTGAGTACAGCTACTTCAGCAGGCTTCTACCTTCTTAGGGCATCACTCACAGAAGCCCTGGGTTTAAGTTCTTGGTCTAAGAAGTTTAAGTACTAAGCAACAATCTGTTTCAGCACCTTTTGACCACAACAAAAGCAAAAAATAACCCTATATAAATAAGAACAAAGTTTATAAAGTGCTTATGAAGTTACAAATATTTCAAATTAGAGTGATGTGAATAAGTGTCCATTTCACCATCAAAGGTAAATGCAGAATAAATGGGTCACTTTTCTGTCAAGACCTGACATGACTTTCAAATCAGTAGTTTGGTCCGGCACAGTTTGAAAAGAAAAAAAAAAACTTCATTAATGAATATATAAATATATTATATTTACCATAATTCATTCTTCCTATGAGATTCAAAAAAAGCACCAATATCAAAAAGTCTGCTACCAAACTCTCTGGAGTAGGCCCGCATGATCCACATTTTTAAACCTATTTTAAAGCTGAAAGCAACAAGACAAAACCATGCCTCCTCCTTTGCTTTTTGTTTAAACACCTTTGTACAAGTGTAGCATAAAACATAAAGAAACTTCAAAGAATTGAAATAAGAAAGGGACATTTCTAAAGATGACTAATGCATTAAATTTGATTTGTTTTTCAGTGCAAACATAAAACTTCATGTCTTGTCCTCTTCCAGATTCAGAAGTGTGAAGGGTGTCCATAGGGAGTCACTCCTTGCTGTGGCTGGTTACCTAAGAAGAAAAAGAAATACAAATAAAATTGTAGATGCAAAATTATGCCACAGATAGATGCCACCCCTTTGTCACTTCTCAATAACAGCCTGACTGACTGGCCAGGAGCACAGCGCTGGCCAGGGGCCCCCCAGTGGCAGAGCGTAAACACTGCAGCTGAATTCATTTCTCAGGGAAGCCAGCTCACCTGAGTCCCACACCTGCCAGCACAAGGCTCAGACGAGGGTAATTGGTCTCTATCTCTGAACTGAGAAACAACTCAATACTAACTTACAAAAGGACTCTACGTATCACTAAACATTGAAAGTAATGAAAATTTTTATAACAACACACCAATTGTTCTGCTTTAACATGGATATTATGAGATGAGAAAAGTAGCTTGAAAAATAGTAGGTACAAAGAAAGGAACAGGATGAGAATAGCCACTGCTCGCACAACTCTTGTGGGACTGTTCAAAACAGAGGCCCATTCTCAAGGTGTGATGGAAAAGGAACCCTCTGGAGGGCGCAGTGGGCATCTCAGCTTAGTTGTCGTTATTCAACCAAGGAGGCGGCAGAGTGTGCACCCGCCTTAGGAGAGACTTGGGAGCACTGTGGGCTCGGTTCCAGACCAACCAATAAAGTGAGTCATAACCTTTTTCGGTGGAGGCTCTTGCCTTCAGTTTGTCAACCTGTGAAGCTCAGTAAAGCTCAGCTCAAGGAAACGGGGTAGGCCTGTATGGTGATGCAGCGGCTCCGGGAAGAGCCGTCGGAGCTCTGCCCCAGCTTGTCCCTTGCTGTCAGCTGAAGAACGTTGGGCAGACGAATCATGACCTTATCCTTTAGCTGTTTTCTCGTCTATAACTGGAATAGTGACAATATCTAACCTCATGGGGTGGTTTAGGAATTAAGTGAATTGATACATGTGAAGTCACAGTGTGCCTGGGTCCAAGAAAGTGCTCCATAAAGGATGGCTGGTTGGGGGGTGAGGGCATAGATGGGATAAATGGTGATGGAAAAAATAATTTTTTTTAAAGCTGCATTTCATGAGCTCTGGGAAATTGGAAACAAGAGGAGATGTGCTCCCTAAATAGGTACTACTATACGAAAATCATTGGTACATATTTCTAAACATTGGAAAAAATCTAAAACACACACACATTGGTCTTGTCCTTAAAATTATGTTGTCTATTTAGCCATGTAAAAATATCACCACCAGAATTAACGGAGCAATGACATTTTAACCACATGTTTGTTGAGTAGACCACACCTATTAAATAGCAACTGGAAAAGAGGATTGATTTACAAAATTTAACTGAAATTAAATGAGGCTATAAGAGGAAAATATTTTTAAAGGGGAAAAAAGGTCTTGGTTATGTCCCGGGAAAGACACCAGGTACAGGAGGGGTATCTCCCCTGCAGGGAATCAGCAGCCAGGCCGAAAAGCCAGACGAAATCAAGCTGCCCGCCCTCAGTCGGGAGCCGGCCCCTTCCTCGCAGCACCCTACCCGTCGCAGAGGCAGGGCTGCTCAGAACAGGCTGCTTAACTCTGCACCCCAGAAGCACGTACCCTGGGACCAGGAGAACCTGCTCCTCTCCTCACTCCATGGATGAGAACCACATGATCCAGATAACGGCGACAGAGCTGGCAGCAGATTTAGGTCTCCTGGCTTCCAGGCCAATACTCTGCCCCAGAGGGCTGGCTCCCGTTGCTAACAAATTTCCTGTGCCTGCTGCCAACACAGGTTGATAGAGTCACGGGGCTCCCCACTGGCGTCTGTCCACACGAGGGAGCTGAATGGGTGAGTGGTATGCACTCTAGAGGCAGCACCATTAAAAACATCAGCCCATACAGCAGGCAGGACCACCAGGAAGAACTGCAGTGCCTGGCCGCCTGTGGTGGTACAGGTCTGATGTGTCTGAGCAGTTGTCAGGAAGGGTAGGATGGTGCAGTGGTGACAACAGCCACTGCCCTGTGACCAGGATACAGGTCTAATGCTAGCTCCCCTGTCTATGACTTTGGGGAGGTCACCTAACCTCCATCAGTACATGTGAGGACATCCACTGAGTTGTTCTCTAAACCTTCCAGCTTTATAAGAAGGTCACCTGCAGCTCCACAGGGGTCCCCAAAAGAAAAGAAATATTTCCAGGTTCAGCTGAAAGCAGCAGGAAAACCTCTTCACTGAACTAAAAAAACAATAACACACACACACACACACACACACACACACACACGCACAAAAGATTGGAGTTTTTCTAGGAAAAGTAGCATTCAAACCAAAACAAATAAAAAAACCACCTTAACACCATAGACCATGGTCAGCAAACTGAGGCTCGTGAGCCACATGCGGCTCTTTGGCCCCTTGAGTGCGGCTCTTCCTAAGCCTTAGGAGTACCCTAATTAAGTTAATAACAATGTACCTACCGATATAGTTTAAGTTTAAAAAATTTGGCTCTCAAAAGAAATTTCAATCGTTGTACTGCTGATATTTGGCTCTGTTAACTAATGAGTTTGCCGACCACTGCCATAGACTAAACAAAGATGAAGTGGTATCCAGGAAGATAGTGCAATTTTTGAGGAGCCAGCCCTTGTGTTTTGCTTGTGTGCTTATTTTCAGTTTCCCAGGAACCATCTGTCCTGGCAAGAGGGGTACTTACTGGAGAGCTGCTTCTGGAGCTGCCGCACCAGGGCAGCCGTCTGCTGCTGCTGCTGTGTCTGCTGCAAGCCTTGCCTGGGAAACTGCAATGTGACAGGAGAAAGAGGGCGTCAGCCCGGGTGCCCATCACAGACACAGAGACTGACTCCCAGGGTCAGATAGTCTTCAACTACTCCAGGACAAAGGTGCCAGGCCAGAGTGTGTTCCTTTACTTTCACCTACATCTTGGCCTCCATCTGGTGGCCATCTGAAGTGCCCAATCCACTTAAAAGTCCTCTCCATGTGGTTACTTTGGCATTTATTTGAAGAGTCCTGATGAAGAGCCCATACTCCAGCAGTGACCCAGAGGCTCAAATGTCCTTCTTATCTCTCCGTTCACCAGCTGGCTTATTTTAGTGTCACGATATTAGAAAACATTTTCATTGGCAAAATGCAAGCTTTCAGTTGGAGGATCTGTTCAAGCACCATAGGCCCTGCCTGCCCTGCATGAACGGCAGGGATGTGCTGAGGCAGAGCAGGCCCTAGGTCCGGACTCTCACGACTGAGCCTCCTACTGGACGGAGGAGAAAGGTCCACTACTCTCACTGGTGGCTGGGCTGGGGCACCAAGGACGCACACTCTGAGGAGGTGCTCACTTCTGGGTCGTGCAAGTGCAGGCACCGATGAGGGCCCATATGCCCTGGTTCTGTCCATTAGGTTGATACAAAAAATTGTGGTGGTTCTTCTAGGAAAAAACACTGTCCGGTAGAAGTGAAATCACTTTAGACTAAAATCACTGGTAGTGCTGATTTACTTTTCCCTTAACCTTTAAATTTCAGACTGTTGAGCTTTTCTTCCTTTTTGTGCCTGCCTTCTCTCCCTCTCCCCCTTCCCTCCACCTGGCCTTTTACTACTGTGACAGAGGACATGTTCTACTGCAAGGCCATCTTGACATGTACACACCAGAATTGTGCAGGTGATTTCTCACTCACCCCCACAGGCCACGCCCCACCCCATGGGGCCTGTCACCAGCCTCCTGGATGGAGTGTGGCCAGGTGCAGGTATAGTTGGAAGGGAGCAGAGTCCAATTTTGTTTTTGCCAATTTCCTTGAGGACAAGTCTCTCTCTGGGAAGGCCACAGCTCCTGCCAGCAGCCCTCCCCTTTTATCTCCTTCTTGTGCCATGGCCACAGAGCCCGGGGGTGTACCTGCTTCCGGCCTGGGGCCCTTTGTCATGCCTGGTTTCCCTTAACCTACCCATACCTCTGTAAACAGTCTTTTTAAAAAAACTCAATTACCCAATATGAGTGAAACATATATTTCCTCCTCAGAGCTTGCTGCTGTGGCTAAAAATAGGCCAGGATTATATTTAAGGTTGCCCTATTTAGCAAATGAAAATATGGAACACCCAGCTAAATGTCAATTTCAGATAAACAATATTTATTTATTTTTTTAGTTCTAAGTATGTCCCAAGTACTGCATGGGGCACATATCGCATTTAGTGTATGCCCCATACAATATTTGGAACATAATTCTAGAGTTATTCATTGTTTACCTAAAGCTGAAATTAATTTATCTGGCAACCCTAATTACAGGGCATCACTGGGTTGATTCTGTTAAAGCTGAATATTTCACACAACACCTGATCCACCTGTTTCTCTCACACTGGACTGTGAGTGACTTAAAGACTTGGGCTTGTCTGTTAATGTATCCCTAGTATCCAGCAGTGCCAGGCACACTGTAGGTGCTCAGAAAAAATGGACAGAATGACTAACTGTGAAGTGCCTTCAATTTCCAAACCTGCCTCGTAACAAGAAAGGTGCACCTCCACCCATGTTACTATTTCCCCCAATACATGGAAGGAAAAGAGCAGCTTGCCACTTTCTCCCACTGCCCAAATCAAGAGGGGAAAAGAAAACAAAAATCCATCTTTCAGTGATGCAAAAACGTTCATAAAATATGAAATAAGTTCTTTTCTATTCAGTGGTTTCTATGATTATTTGGAAATAGACCCTATTTCTTTAACAAAAGCTAATATGGTTCTATGTGTGAGGCAGTGTTCTAGATAGCACCTGTACACATGAACCCAGCGAGCCCAGCTAACCCTGAAAGGATAATACCACCCTCAGTCTCTCACACAAACCCTGGGCATGTGTTTTATGAAATTCAGTACACATATGATTTACTATGAAACATTCATAACACATAGACAAAGCAAGATCTAGGACAGTACTCCATAATCAAACATTTTAAATCTCTGCAGCAAAACACACAAACAGTCATATCAGATGAAACAAATAAAAAGAGCTTCACATCCGAGGTCAGCTTTTATTACCAAATTAATCAGGTCAGGCTTAGCTGTTCAATGAGTTATAAATAAAATTTCCATTCTCACAGGTGTCTGAATTTTGGGAATGAATATAAGAAATTGTGAGGCTTTTTTTTTTTTTTTTACAGATGGAAGAAGTGGAGGCTTTGAGGGGTGAAGTCAGTCCATGATCCCAGTAAATTTTGGGGCTGGAATTCAGACTCGTCTTTCTGAGTCCAGAGCTCATGATCCTAACCACAATCTAGTGCTGTCCTTAATTGGAATATTAGCTTCCAAATATTAATTTATTTGAATATATCACAGATTCTAAATGGTCAGCTGCAAAGATGTCTAATCTTATTAGCTGATTAAGGTACACAACACATAAATATCTAACATTTGTTCATTCAACAAACACTTAGCTGCCTTCTCTACGTTCATTTAAAGTCTGCTTCAAGTAGAGTATTTCTTAGAATGAAACATTGTAATGATGTCCTCAGATTTTTTATTTTGAGCCAAGGCAGTAACTAGGTCCCTGAGAAGCTAGTGTTTGTGCACAAGCACCCAGGAACACATGCAGGTGTGTATGTATATTGGAGAATGGTGGGTGGCCCACTGGGTGACCTTAATAGATAATATCCCTGGGGGGACCCCAAGACTCTGTTGGGATGTCTACAAGGTCAAAACCATTTTCATAATACTAAGAAATTATTTGCTTTTTCAGTCATTTTTTCATGAGTGTACTATGCAGTTTTCCAGAGAATAATGTGTGATACTGCAACAAAATGAATGCCTTTTTAACCCAGACACTGAAGTTTTCAAAACTGTAAAACAGTGTCATTCTCACTAATTTTTAGTTTGAAATATACACCCATTTTTCATTAAAAATGTTATTTCTTTTCATATGTAATTTTATTTTAGAATTATGAAATATTTTTAATATTTGTTTTAATTTCTAGTAAAGTAAATACTGATAGACACAAAAGCTTTTGCATGTGAAGGGCCACAGCTTTTGCTTGTGACGGGTTCTGAGGCCAAGAGCACTGAGAGCAGCAGGGGAAGTCCACGGGATGATCTAGCATCTCCAGTACTCTCAGCTATAGTGCTTCACTACATTCCTCTCAAGGCCACCTGGCACTAAATGCAACTGGCTTTAACCTGTATATGTACATGAGCATGCAAGAGATTGCATGTGCAATTTTCTTGGGGAAAGAAAGAGTGCCACCAACTCCCCACAGAAATCCCATTACTGAGCATTTCAAATCAAGTCACTGAATGTCTCCTGCAAAGGCTGAGCCCTGCACATGGCAGAGGAGCATAAAACCAACAGGGGAAGTTTAAGGAGTCACCCTCTTGGACTCCTCCCCAGACTTCCTGAATTAGAATTTCGGGGGCTGAAAATCTGTATTTTGTAAATGGTCCCTCCTGTGATCTGATGCTTGGCTAGATTTTGGAGTCATCCTTGTGGTGAGAGTTGGAACTTTAAATTGACCAAAATAGGTCAGAAAACAGGTCAACTGAGGTCCTACATTGCCATCTGTGTATGTTTAATCTTCCTGCTGCAATGTAATGAACAAACAGGGAAAGGTCTCTTTGAACTCCATCCATGCAGGAGCTAATGATGGTTTCTCCCACCTGTCCCTTTGCAGATGTTAATCCTCCCAGAACATCTTCCCTTTCATCCTGTCCTGCACCCTCAAAAAGGCCCCAGCCTTGAACAATAGGCTCCAGTTGCCAGCCACGCCTTCAGGCATCTGTAGAGTGAATCAGTGCTCTTGTGCCTGGGCACTGTGATGCCCTTATTAGCAACAAGGCAGCTGCCTCTTCCCCACCCTCACACTTTGAGGAGGGGTGGGAGCTATGCTAAGTTCCTACTGCAACCACAGACAGAGCCCAGGCTTGATGATCTCCGTCAAGTGGAACAGGTCAACAAAGCATAGTCACTCTCCAGTAAACACATTCTCTGCTGCACCAAAAAGAATATATTAAGAAGTATTTTGGCCTGGCTGAGTGGCTCAGTTGGTTGGAGTGTACTCCCATACACCAAAAGATTGTGGGTTTGGTCCCAGTCAAGTCACATGTGGGAGGCAACCCATCAGTTCCTCACATTGATGTTGTTGCTTTTTTTCCCTCTCTCTTATTCTCTCCCTATCTCTAAAAATCAAGTAAAAAAAAAAAGTACCCTGTTTTGTAATTTGACTGCGGAAAGTATCTGTTGGGATTGGCTCCAATCAAGCAAGAACTATACATTTTCTACTAACTTATTTAATGATGTAAGTGTCAAAAGAACCACAATTCACTGATTCACTTATTCTCATCCCTAACTGTGAACATTTGTAATAAATAAACTTGTACTACTGAGAAAAAAAGATTTTGACACTTCACATATGCAAGTAGAAAATTGATAGTGTCAGTTTCAAAGATGATTTTTGTATTTAAAGTTTCTGGCTTAAATATCTAATAGTGCAGATTTTGAACTTTATAAGAACAAATTTTGTTAAAAAAGTAAGAACTTGCTCTAGTTTTGTGGCCTTGTGTACTTTTTAAATAAAATTAAGAAAGTAGTTTTCTGCAATAAATAAATAAATAAATAAAATTAAAATAAAGCCAAAAAAAATCACCAAAAACATATCCTTGGGTGAGGATTGAAAAAAAATTTTTTTTGGATGTATATTCTGCCTGATCCCTAAATGTCTATTTTGACAACACACATTTATTCAAGATTATTAAATTTTTGCTCAACCATTACTAAAGGAAGTGTGTCATTAACTAATAATTTCTATTTAATTGAATCTTT